TGTGTTCCCTCTCTCGCTGTCTCTCTGTCAAAAAATAAATAAAATCTTTAAAAAAAGAAAAAGAAAAAGAAAAATCACCCACCCCCCATCTTTGCCCAGACGGGGAGCATCTTTTTAAAACGTCCATGTTAGGGGAGACCCAGCGGGCTCAGTCGGTGGAGCGTGTGACTCTTGATCTCAGAGTCGTGGGTTCAAGCCCCACGTTGGGGGTAGAGATTACTTTAAAAAAATAAAGAAATAAAATAAAACATCCATGACAGAGAAGGCACAATTATTCCAGCAAATACAGGAATGAATCTAAATCTCGATGCCACAATCCACGTCTCATTAACAAAGAAATCAGGGGGGCCAGACAGCCCCTCCAGAGCCAGTACCCTTCCTTCCAGCTCAGCCACAGGAGTTTCTGAGGGTGAGGAAATGGGCCACAGCCAAGCATGGGGTCTCCCTTCCCTGCCCCCTCCAAGCTCTCTGCTGGACCCAAGCTCTAGAAAAAAACAGCGTTATAAAAATACTTCTGGCTTCACTAAGACACATTAAAGAATTAATTATAAAGTAAAGCTGAAGGAGAAAATTAATTTTAGAAACATATGAGGTTACAATTTTTTTTTTCCTGGAGATGGGGGAGGAAACACAGTTATTTTCGTTCTCATCCTGGGGGCACAAGCTGGGAGCTGTCCAGTCGATAACCTGGCCATCAGAACAAGGTTTGTAATTAAAAGGTCAGTGACCTGGAAAGCCAGGGCCCCACTCCCAGAGCTTCTCAGTAATGACGGAGCTATTAAATTAAGACTGTTATGAAATCAATGCTAAAAAAGCTTTCATGGTAACGAGATTCCATTCAAGGACATGCAAACTACCTCATGAAATGGACGTAAATGATAAAAAAGAAAAGTAATAAAAGAGAGTTAAATTGAAATCTGCGTAAGAATTTACTCCCCCTTGAAATACTCCAGCGAGAGCAGCCCTTCACCTCTACCCCACTACCAAGGTTGAGACCATCAGGTTTCTTCCTCAAGTTCATTTCCAGCAAGGAGGCGGCTTTGCTACCGGGGGTTCCGCTTCCAGGAACAGAAGAAAGATAAGATCTTGTTTCACCTTTTAGAATGAGAAAGGATGGTGGTGTGTCTCATTTGTTTAGTTTTCCTTTCCCCCCGGACTATTTATTAGATGAGCGAGAACACAGCCCTTTACTTACACACTTGAGAAAGGCACAATAAGCAAAAGTCTCAGCCAACAGCACCCAGGCCCCATTATGCAGGATTATACAGAGAAGTGTGTGATGCTCATCGTTTTTCTAGAAGCCTGTTTTGCAACAGATAGATTAGGAGTAAGCTAACAGACAACGCTATCTTCCCCCCACCTCACCTACCCCACCCCCCAAAGAAGAGGCATCACTTTTACCCACCTTACACTCACCCTGCCAACATGTTTGGAAGCAGCCTGCCTCCTACACTTTGTGGTTGGATAGGGTGTCAAATAAACATAAGCCTATTGACAACGCTGTCCAAGCCTCTAACTTTCTGGACCGATTCTGTTGCTGTTTTTAAGCTACTCTAACCTCCTGGACTGCAGCCCACTTAAAGCCCAGACACGATGCCTGCCTGGTGAGAACCTATGCAGTCCAGTTCCAGGAGGGCTTAAACGCAACACATAGTCCAGTGATGCTCATGTGCGGCTGACTACGCGGCTGATGTGCCATCTGCAGAATCAAGTAGTTGGAAGGAAAACAAAAACGTTTATTCTAATACTCCAAAGGTGAACAGCTGCTTTTCTCTTCCACCCAAAAAATTCCCGATAAAAGAAAGAAATGTCGTAAATTACATAAAATGGCAGTACAAACTTCAAGGAAAATGATAAATGATTCCAATAACTTCATGTTTCTCATTAATGACTTCATATTCAGACTTTAAAGCATCCAAAAGAGAACTCAAAACACAAAAAACAAAAACAAGAAAACCACAAACACAGAAGACCTTTGCAAACCAAAGCTCTTGCATGTCCATCCCATCCACTCCCCACTAGCCTGCCTCCGGTCCCCTCGGTGCCCCAAATCAGAGAGCACAACATTTAACGTGTCAGTAACGGAGGCAGGCTGTAGCCCTGCTCCAGGCTGTGGTTTCACATTAAAACAAACTCAGCTGATGTGCCTAAAGTAACCCTCATTTTCCACTGAACTGACATGCACTACAGGGACCTCAATTTCTATATTAAATATTAAATAATATTAAAAGAAAAACAAAATTGGATTTGCCTTTTCAGGAAAGAGATGTTTATTAAAAAAAAGAAAGTCAAGATTATAATTCAAGGCAGTGCTCCATTGCAATTCCCTGAAGTGACATTTGCTAGGAAAAGCCAAGACTACAGTAGCTGCAAGCTCGCCCAAAGCCAGCGCTCCAAACCCACCCCTGCAACGAGTCCTGCTTGGGGGGGAGGCATGCGGAGGATGCCAGAACCTTGGTCCCTCCCCCTCAGGACACCCTCCCCGCCCCCACAGACCAGCCCACCAACTCTCTTTCCTTCCCAAGTACAGTCAGGGACAGGGGAGACCGGCTCCTTCGCAAAATCCCCTCCTCCCTCACCCCATCGGAGCCGGTGCCAAGCTCCGCGGACCACGTACACCTGACCCAAGGAACAACCGGAAATTTAAAAAGTGAAGTGTAAATCCACGAAGGGGCGCTTCTTCCCCAGACGCCAATCAAACCATGGAATCCTCTGCCCAGAAAAGGTCCTGCCAGAACTTACCCTATTGGGACTCAACTCGGAAACAGATAATTACTGACTGAAGCAGCATTTTACAGGATAATGGAGATGGGTGATTACGGCCAGTGATTCTGGACTGAGGCTCAGGGTAGACTCCTGTGGCTCTCTTTAGAGGAAGAAGGGTAGGAGGCCTCTCCAGGTTCCTGCTGCCTGAAATTCTAAAAACTCTCATCCACATTAGGGGTCAAGGAGGAACTGTGCCCACTCCACACTGACAAATACTCATCTCCCTCTTAGAGAGGCGTGCTCCAGTCGCCCTGTCTAGGTGTGCAAGCCGTTCCCACCCCAGCGCTGGTGCTCCTCAACCCCGGGCGCCCGGCATTATTTTTCTCCGTGGCGCTTGTCACTCGACGTACAATGGATCTCGTTTTCTCATTGGTTAATTGTCTGCCTTTCCCCCTTAGAATGTCAGCCTGGTGAGGGCAGGGATGCTGTCTGCCCTCTTCTCTGCTGAGTCCCTGGGGCCCAGAACGGGGCGTGTGCAAGGCAAACACTCTCCGATGGATTAACTAATCGACTGGTTTTGTTTTGCGTTATATTTAAAGGAGCAACAAATAATAATTGCACAAAACAGTTTCCTCTCCACAGTAATTATTAGCCAACTAACTCAAAAGAAGTATTATTTGGTCCAGAGTTTCTCTCTCTCTCTTTTTCCTCTCCCTCTCCCAGTCAGGGATTTATTAAAATTAAACAGATTAGATGGAGCTCCTGATACTAAAACTGCTCAGCAAAGCCTGCGGTGGGGAAGTGCCGAGCAAACACCAGAGACATTTGTCTCTAAATTGCTCTAAATACCTTCTGCAAATGAAATTCTAACCCAGCTGCGTTTGAGAGAAAATGAGGAATAACTGGTCATTGTCAGTGGAAGAGAAGATCAGGCAGTTATAATACCGCACAATATACTGGGGCAGAGGATCTCTCGGCAACCATAGATTTTGTCTCAGGTTACCCCGGGTAATCAGCACAGCTTTTAGGCTCAGCTTTCCCCGGCTTCGATGCTTTGATGAGAGAGCTGAAATCCCCAAGCTTTTATGATTAATTACTCCCCATAGGTACACATATTTCAAGGAAAAACTCTTTTATGGCATGATGGTTGCGGAGTGGAGAGGCCGGCCAACGCACTCCAAATTGTAATAACCACCTACGGATGGGGGGCGAGCACGATGCCGCCAGCAAATGCACAGTGCCCCTCACCAACTCCGTCGCAGGGGCCAGCCCTGAGGCTGCCTCTGAACAGATGCCTGCGAATGGAGAGCTTCAGGCTCATTCTGCCCCAGTGCCAAGGGTGCAGGCCTGGGACACGGTCCCGCAAGCACCTCTGTGGTGGGACGCCAGGGAGCAGACGGAGGAAACACCACCAAACCACTCCGTCTTCTATTTCCAGCCACAGATGACTTAAAGCTCACAACCTCAAATTCTGAAGCTGACATTCCAGCTACTGAAGGAAAAGGAGTTTTGTTTAGGGGCGGGGGGGGGGGTGGGGGCGGCGGAGCGCGGCGGCAGAGAGGAGGAAGAAAACTCACTCCCCCCACCATGGTGTATAAGGGCCTCCACACAACTTTCCAGCTTTCTAGAAAATTAGATGTTCAAAGAGTGAAAAGTCAGATTCCTTTTTTTGTTTGTTTTGGGGTTTGTTCTGTATTTTACAGAACAAGAAAAATATCCTAAATTGCAACAGAGCCAGAAGAGATTCTTTCTGCTTTGGACAATATTGAATTTGTCAAGATCCATTTAATCCCTGCTTACAGAAATACCATAAAACCAGTAATTTACCACTTCAATCCGTAAATCAGACTGACCCCAAGCTTGACCTTAACCTGACCTTGTTTAGTCATCTCATTTCCCTCGTCTTTCAATTTCTTTCTTCCTGATTCTTTACTGAGGCAGCTGACCTCCTAACCTAAAGCCAGTCACTGTGTAGCCAGGGTCATATTATCAGAAGAACGGACCAGAAGCAGAAGTCCTCCACAGTCTCATCCAATGGGCCTCTTCTTGATGCCAGTACCAGGCTGTCCTGGGCTAATTGTTGGCCTAACACCTGGTGCTGGATCATCCAGACAGTATCATCTCTCTGCTCCACTGTAAGGAAAGAAGCCTGCATTCCCACTGAGGGGGCTCCCCTCACCCCCACACCAGTGGGACAACTACGGAAGGTCCTTTCAGCAACAATGTGGCTTTCGTCTGCCCCGTCCCCAGTCCCTTTCTGCAGGCCACACTGTATGGCCTTGGGAAACCTGTACCTTTCTTCTTAAGGAACGCTCTCCTGGTCGCAAGTGGGCTCTGGCGGACCCGGGAATTCTGTAGAAACTTCATTGCTGTGGCAATCTGGTCAGGGAGATAAAAGAAAAAAAGTAAACTTCAATAGGCTGAATTTCAAGATTAAAAATCCTACCAGTTTATCCCAGGTCCAGAGAAATAGGCACACCACTGTGGTCAAATATATAACCAGTTACTTCTCACATTTAAAATCTACCTAAATAAAAGACTATGTCAGGTCCCACTGGCTCCCTGTATCTGATTCTATCAAACCTAATCTCCTCAGCCTAGCTTTTAAGACCTGCAATAATCTTTTCCTCTTCTCCCTGTTCAAGCTGTCTCTTCATACTCCTCGGCAGGTAGCCCTCTCCTGGTGATGCTCATCCATGTCACTACACTTGTGCTCAAGTTATGCCCTCGTTCTAGACAGCCTCCCTTTCCTGCCTCTACCTGTCTAAACATTGCGTACACACACACACACACACGTACACATGTACAAACGCGCACACACGCACACCAGCACAGCCCTTTTACAGCCTGTGCTAACTCCTCGAAGTCTTCCCTAAATAAGCAAGCCATCTCTGATCTCCCTATTCTCTTAAATTCTTTGATGCTCGTAGTGTGTTCCATATAATTGAAGACATAATTATACTGCCTTCTAATGTTCAGGCTGCCTCCCCAACTACACTGCAAGCACCCGAGGAGAAGAGACCACGCTGCCTCCACAGAGCCTGGCAAAGTGCTGAGCAGAGACCGGCTGGGAAGGATTATATAAGAGACAACGGCACCCAGCCATTCACACCGGTCCCTCTTATGCAACGGAGCTCAGTCCTGAAGAGACTTCAAAGGACAAAGTTTGGGGTTTCGTAGCTAAAAGCTGACAGATTGACAGACAATCCCCCTACCTCTGGTAATGATATTATTTAATGAAATCTTCCTATCTACAAATAAGCCAAGGAGGGGGTGGGAGGAAAACTGCTGAAGGTATTAACCTTCGGCGTGTGTTTGCACGCCGCCTGTGTGCTCTCCGTCCCGCGCACTAGTGCAACGGGGGGGGACACGCCAACCTGCCCCAGACAGGAAAGGGGCCGTTTTAAATGGCTGGCATTATTCATCTCATCAAGACCAAAAGAATAATATAGTCTTGTGTTACAGGTAAAGTCAACAGACCCTGGAGTTCACTCCTAAGCTGTTGAAAGAAAACATTTCTAAGGGACCAAATATAAGGAACTTTTCTAAGATCCTTCAGACTAAGGGTAGCAGCTATCCAGAGACTCAAGCACAAAGTACTGTGACTATCAATGGAATACAACTTACAAATATTCTATTTTATATGAATTTAATCCTGAGTCCAGCCAGGCTTCCCTGGTAGCAAAAGATAGCAGGATAAATGACGAAAAAAAAAAAACACAAAAGGCCAGGGCAATTCCCTTATGTACCTTCACCCATAATCCCTCTATTGGAGGCTAGCCTGAGACATTCTCCCTGAAGGATGAATTCAGGTGTCCCAGACCTTTAGATTCGGGCCTGGCGGCGATAAGACACACTCGTGTTCCTAGAGACTGGTTGTAATTCGTCCAGCATTGCAAACTCTTAACCCGCATCATGAGCTGCAGTGGTAACCAGCCAGCTCTGGACTAGAGAGAAACCCATGCTCCAGATTCTAGACCCCCGAACTCCACATCCCACGCCCCCTCGGCCCCTCAACCACATCACCTCGGGTCGCACCAAACTTAAGAACAATCTGACACACATCTACAAAACGGATGCGTTTTAATGAAGCGATGGGAGAAGGGAGAGGAAGAAGAGGAAAACAGAAGAGGGACTGGGGAGCAGGAGGGAGCGGCAGGGGAGAAGGCAGCCACTGGACAAGTGGAGAAGGCAGAGGAGCTGGACCAGAAGGGGAGGCAGAAGAAGTGGGGAGAGGAGAAGTGGGAAGGGGACGTGGGGAAGGAGGAAGGAGAGAGACAGGAGGAAGAGAGGCCCAGGTCCAGGAAGGAGTGGACAGCTACACAGTCACAGGCCCCACGGGGTCAAAGGCCATCGGCCTGGTTCCGATGGCTCGGGGATGACTGCTCTTCACCTGGAGAAAAAAACGCACCTTCCACACACAAGACAATTACAGCACCAGTCCCACGCAGCGGTGGCTGCACGCAGCGACATGTGCACCAGGTGTCAGAGGGACTGTGGATGAGCGGCCCTTAAGCAGCAGACATTAACAGCACGGCTCCTCTCATTTACCCACAGAAGCATCGACCTTTCCTTCATCCTTCCAAAATTTTCCATGACAGAGGAAGAAAACAGAATCCCACCACTAAAACGCACAGGTTTCACCTTGCTTTTTTAATATAGTCCTTGGTATATGCATTTCTGGTCAGAGAGCAAAGTTCTGATGGGTTTAATGGTGCACTCAATGCAGCGCCTGGCGCATTCCATCAATTTTTTTTTTAAAATTGCATCTCTTATTTCTTTAAATACATTAATCAGCCTAGTGTAGGCAAAACGGATCCATCGGACAATGCAATAAACATGAATTATCATCTATCCAACACGCATAATGGCTTAAAAATACATAATAGCAGGTGTAGTTTAAATGATTAGTTATTACACCTGTGGTGGGTCTGATTCAATTGGGAAAAATCATCTTTAATAGGTTAAAAGGTTTAGATCACCATGCTTTCCTTAAAGTGGCTGTAGAGAGGGAATGATGGAGTGCTCTGTCATTAGTAATTCATTTAAGAAAAACGTGGGGGATATAGCAAAGAACAGCATAAACGAGCGAATCCAATTTAAACATCAGGTAAAGTAGAAAACACCTTTTAAAAAAGCAAGATAAATGAATTCGGAAGGGAGATGAAATTGACGTATTTATTTTAACGGGAATTTGACAAAGTCCCGGCACACTTCAAACTTGCAAAAATATGAACAATTTCTTTTAAAGTTTCCATTCACTAATTTCAAGCCATATAAAATCATACTGCCAAACACCTACATAAAGTATATTTGGGGCTCGTTTATGTTCCTCTTGATCTTTGTCTGAAAATGCAGGCGAAAGGCAAATCACATATTTAACAGCATCGATATCACTACGCCAGATGCAAAAATATAAAGCATCCAAACTAACAGCCTCAACATAATGTGCTGAATAAGAAAGATACCCAGATAAGCAGCTACATGTAAGTGTGAACATATGAAAACCTCTCTCCGCCGTTCACTAATTATTTCTTCGGCTACTCTTTACTCCCCCACCCCACCCCTGCCGCCACAACAGGGGGTTAAGGCCTGTCCAATCCGGAATTTTATATGCCCGGGGATTCATCCGCAGATGGTAAAAGATCTCCCCCAAATCTTTACCCATAATGCAAACGTTTTAGCACGCTAAGTAACTGCCAGCACCCTCGGTCCGCATCTTTCATTCACCCATGGTTGGACACTTTTCATTAACTTCATGAAGCAACTCAACTGACTCTTCCTCTGCAGAGGTCCAACACACACAGCATGCTTTTGTTGGCCGAAGGGATGGGGTGCCTGCAGCCTGTCCTGTATTATCGTTTGATTTTCTAATTAGGAGATGAATGTGACTATTCATGGGTTATATCTGTGCCCAACTAAATTACATAAATTCAGGCCAAATCTTCCGCCTCAATGTCAAAGATGTAAAACGGAGACAGGAACTTTATTGCACATGTCGTGGGAGTGCAGTAAGCCAGGGAAGATTCTGGCGCAAAGCACCTGATGCCGCTGTGGGAAGCCACTCGCCGCTGAGTCCACGAGAAACGTGGAATCGGCTTTCCTTTCCCCTCCTCTTGCACTGAGAGTTCCTAATGAGTGCACCTCGGATTACCAGGAGCTGCACCATAAAAATAGAGACGACGAACTCGGAAGAAAACAGAAGCAAAGTTTCTCGCCACCCCTATTTCTGTGACCCTATCTTCTGCCTCCCTCCCCCAAAAAGCAAAATAAAAGCACCCCGGCACCATCAAACTCCTCAGTCTTAGGGAAATTTGATCATTTTCCCTGTTGATCACTAAAGTGACTGCCTGCCTCTGCACTGGGCGTGCTGGAGGGACCGCTGCAGCCAGGAGGAAGAGGGGACTTGGGGCTGAAGGACACCTTTGGACCCCAGATGATCAGCCAACCGCGAGAGACCCTTGTTTGAGAGCCCAGGATTTGTGACTGTAAATCAGTGGAATACAGTATACTCGGGGGCTCTCTACGATGAACTATGCGCTGTTAAATGCGCTGTGTAGGGTAAGTAATCCCTGGTGAGAAGAATCAAGGTTCTGGCAGTCCTCGCTGAAGAGGTGCTTCCTATGTGTTTCCCACTCTCCTACAAAAGACCTGCACGCTGTAATCTTCAGAACATACGCTTTATTTTCTGCACGAGGGGGACGGGAGAACAGAGCTTGCCTAATAACGAGCCTGGGGTGTGAGGAAGCCTGAGCACTTTGCACCTGACATGTAAACCGGATGCATTGTCTCCAGTGACACTTATTTGGAATGCCACCAATTCCAGCAATCCTGTGTGCTACATAAACATCTATCTCCTAAACTGTGAGCATTCATGAGCCATTTTAAAATATTAAAAATATTCAAAAATTAATGACACTAACAACCAACGCCAAGTCCTCTTTAACCCAGAGAGATCACAACCGGAGGGCAAAAGAAATGACCGATGTGCGGGCCTGAACCCCCACTCCCGACGCTGCGCCGGCGCACGTGCACCGCTCAGAAGATTAAATTGCCTGTGAAAGGTTCCTATGCTCGTGCTCTAAAGTAGATAGATACCCAGCATCCTGTTAACAAGCGTTAGACCAAAGCCAACTCGAGTTTTAACAAGGACTGACTTTAAAAGCTAGGCAATGCTGAGAATGAGAGCACCCTCTTCAAACAGAAATGCTGCATTTTAGTAAGAAATCAGTACTCTGTCAGGAGTTCCTTGACAAATATGGTCATCGGTGGCACAAGGAAATAGTTGCAAAGCAGCTGTTAATCAGAGAAACACATCGTAGAACGCTGATGCTAGCACTCATGAAAAAATGCAACGGGCTAATTATGAAGCTATATAT